AGCGCTGCCCGCCAAGAACCGGGTGTTCGACGCCTCCACCGTCGCGGGGGCCCGCAACCGGGGCTGGGTGAGTGAGCTTCTGAGGGCCCTTTGCCGCGTCCGGCCGACAGGGCCTCTCTTCCAGGTTTCGCTTGGAAAGTGGGAGGAGATGCGCAGGAAATTTCGGGGACAGCATTTCTCTCCCTCACTCCCTCTGCCCCCCCACTCGTGGCGTCATGCTGGCCCATCTCACGACAGTTGGTATTTCAAAGTTTCAGAGAGCACTATCCAGCAGCGTGGTCGTTGGCTCTCGGCCAACTCAGTCGAACGTTACTCCAAGCCTGCAGGCATGTTGCGCAACAGACAGTTGCTCTCTGCAGCACAGATAGCTCGAGCAAAGCAGTTAACGCCTCGGCTCGGCAATGAGATCCTGGAGTTTTTCAAAGGTCCCACCCGAACCCGCCCTCCGGTAAACCGATCCAAGGAGGTTTCTGGAAGTTTGGGCACAAGGTCGCTGGTCAAGAAACGGCTAGCTTCCCTTCTTCAATAACCGGGGTTGGACCCCCCAGGATCATGCTTCTGCCGTGGGAAATGAATGCGTTGCGATGTCTTTAGCCTTTCTCAGGGCCTACGCCCGCTCCGCCCCCCTCCTCGTCGCCGCGGGATCCTGGGGTCTCCAGGCGTGCTGGCGTGGTGGGGCTGTCTTGGCGCTCTGCGTAAGACTTGGCGGCAGTTGGCAGTCTACGATTGATGGTGTGCCATATTATCGTTGTCACGATCGTAGCCGGCCCCATTTCAAGTTTTTGGCTCCACCTCTTCCTCTCCTCCGTCCTCTTTCTCCTTTCTGTACACTTGTATCTCGCCGAGCCGATGCAGGGCACAAGGTCGCTGGTCAAGAAACGGCCAGCTTCCCTTCTTCAATAACCGGGGTTGGACCCCCAGGATCATGCTTGTGCCGTGGGAAATGAATGTGTTGCGATGTCTTTAGCCTTTCTCAGGGCCTACGCCCGCTCCGCCCCCCTCCTCGTCGCCGCGGGATCCTGGGGTCTCCAGGCGTGCTGGCGTGGTGGGGCTGTCTTGGCGCTCTGCGTAAGACTTGGCGGCAGTTGGCAGTCTACGATAGTTATTTGCGATGGCCGTTTGATAGCGAACGCTGTGCGGCTTCGCATCGAACCGCTCCTGGCTGGGTGGGTATCACCCCGCCAAAGGGGGTTCTTGAGCGGCATGTCCATGCTGGCTAGCGTCGTGGATATCGATTTGGCAATGATGAAGACGGCGCTCTGCGACGAGGTCGGCATGGCGATCTTTTTCGACTTTCGCCCAGCATTCCCGTGTGTTGCGCGCGGGTTTCTGCGGGGGACTTTGGCGGCAATCGGGCTGCCGCCCTGGGTCCCCAGCTTCGTCGACGTGCCGTGCAAGCAAAACATGTGCGCCCTGGTCGCAGGAGGGCGTCAACAATAGGGCTTCGAGCTGCTCGTGGGGATCCGGCAGGGATGCCCTCTTTCCCCGTTGCTGTTCTCAGCAGCGGTGGGCGCGCTGTTGCGATGGATTGCGCGGCTGGTAACGTCCGCGACTATCCGGGCGTATGCGGATGACGTGGCCGTGGTGGTTCCGGCAGGCGCCGCTTCTTTCCCAGTCGTCGTGCAGATCTTCGAAGAGTCTGCGAGAGGATCAGGGCTGCAGCTCAATTTGACTAAGACAGTGGTCGTCCCGCTTTTTCTCCAGGAGATGCCAGACGTCGCCGCCGGCCTGGCCCGCGATTTCCCTTCTTGGGTCGGCGTGCGCGTTTCGAGCCACGCCAAATATTTGGGGTTCGTGCTCGGGCCAGGCAGAGGCGAGGCCGCCTGCAAACCGATGCAGAAGTTCTTACCCAAGGCGAGATCATGTGGTACTGTCGGCGCTGGTCTTTTTCTGACCAATCTTGCGTACTCCGTGTGCATCCTCCCGACCGTGTCCTTCCTGCCCCAGCTGGGCGCCTTGCCTGAGACGCGGGCGGCTACTGAGGCCACCGTCCTTCGCGCGCTGGTACCTGGCCCCGGCGCTTGGTGCGACCCGGGCGATCTGCACAACTTGCGAATTTTCAGCTACCCCCGTGAGTTCCCAGACGCGCGCGCCGTTTCTCTGGCGTGCCGATTCCCCGTCGCCAGTATAGAGGGCCTCCCAGAGGGGCTCGCCGTGGCAGCTCGGGCGCGGAGGCTTCGCAGGTTGCTGACAGTAGTCATTACCTCCAGCTTGCCACTTGGGCGACCTGGTTCGACAAGGCTTTCGTGTTGTAGCTGGAGGCCTCCGTCGACTACTTCGCGCGAGCCGGACTGCACCCGAGCCGTCGAAAATCGCATTGCCGCCGGGGGGCCGCGGCCATTCCAGCTTTGCACTGCGGTCCGTGTCCGGCGCAGTTTTCAATGCACGACCCAGGCAGCCCTACCGCAGGCGAGTGATGGCTGGCTGGAAACACGTGCCCGCCACAAGCTCGTTCGATGAGGAGTCCGTCAATTTCCGCGGATTCGGGCAGTTCGCTGCGTGCAGATGCTGCGGCAGCTTGCCCTGCTGAGAACCGCGCCGACTTGGTCGGCCGTGTGGTGCGCGCTGTGGAACGGCTGGGTTACGCATCGGCGTTTCCCTGGCGCTCGCGGCCTCGGCAATTAGTGCATGTTCTGCGGCACAGGCGCGCCGGACAGCATCGAACATTATGCCTCTTGCCCGCGCGTGTGGTCGTTCCCGCGGAGGTCTCTCGGCCTCCCGCGCCCAGACACCGCGGCCGACTGCTTGGCCAACGTCTTCTTGATGGACCTCGCGCCGGACAGCATGCAATTGCAGCCCGACGTGCTGATCTGCAAAGCGTTGCGCACCGCGGCCTTGTACAGGGTGCGCTACCCGTCCCGGCATAGCGCAGTCCCAGTTGGTGCAGCTGCGCGTGAGGCCCTGCGTCAGGCGGTTCGGGAACCCGTGAGGGGCCATTGTGTTTCTCAGCGAGCTCTTGGGCATTGGTGCTGATACCCCTTCCCTTGCCTCCCTTGCCCTCCCCCTGACTTGGTGCGGCTGGGGCCCGCCGTGTGCACGTGCCGTGTGTGAGGCCGGCTGAGGGCCGCAGGCGCCCGACCCCGGACACAATGTCCGGGCTTGCCCGTCTGCCACCCTCGCCCCCGCTCCGCGCGCGGCGTATCCTGTAGCGTGCCACAGTTGGCGAGTGCATGTGCCCAGCAGTCTCGTATCCTCTGGCCCTGCTCTCCCCTTGTCTCCGCCCCCGTCCGCTCATCCATCACCATTCCCGCGGCTGCCAACTTCGTGCCTGCGTGCGTTGGCGCGGGCGCAGCCTGATACCCACTATACCTGCCCCACTGTGAATCGTATAGGCTTGCATATTGCAGGTCAGTTCATGTGGGATTCACTCCCCGGCCCCGCGCCCAGGGAATTATGCTTTTGGAGGGCACGTTTGAAGTTAGATTTCGGATCCATTTGTCGCCCGCCTCCTCCTCCCTCTTGTTCCTCCTCCTCGTCCTCCTTCCTCCTCCTCCTCCTCCTCCTCCTCCCTGAATGTGGTGACGTTTACCCGGTCGGCCAATCTGTTTTTTATTTGTTCATAATCGTGCATGCGGGAAGTGGGCAAGCCGGAACAGCATAGTATTGACATCTTCATTTTGGATGAGCCAGCCTATCAGCGGCTTTAGGCGTGTAGTTTGTTGGACGTCATGTTCTCCCCTCGAGGCCTGCGGGCTGATCCCATCCCTTGCTCTCATGCGTTTCATGGGATAAATAAATCATACGGATTGAGGGCTCGCCGATATGGCTCTCGCCCCAGTGCCCCTCGCATTCGACTTCACTGTTTCCAGCAGGTAGAAGGATAGAGGGCGGCTTCTTTTCGAAAGAGGGCTCTCGCTGGAGACTTCTTCAACATTCATGTCCAGAAGTGTGGAGTGGTGCAATTATTACACGGGCGGATGGCGGTTCCTTCTCAAAGCGATGCTCTAGTTTGACACTTCCTTGAACTTTCTGATGCTACCGTTGTGGCATTCCTTATATTTAATCGCTTCGCTCATTCCGCCAGCCCTGGAGCGCTATTTGGGGCCTCTTGGGGCCGTCTTGGGGGCCTTTTGGGGGCTTCTTGGGAGCGTCTTGGGGCTCCTTGGCGCCGTCTTGGGCTCCCGGGGCCTCTTAGGGGGCTCTTGGGGGCCCCTTGGGGCGGGAGGGGGGGTAGTCGATTGCAGCCACCCCCTCGGAGGCCACGATCCTCGTGAGGGGTGGCGAAAAATAGCCTCCCCCCTGGGGATCGCCCGGGACCCGGCCGGGGATCGGCCGGGGTAGTCCGGGGGCCCCCAGGGGCCGCCCCGCGCGCGCGAGCTAGAAACATTGTTAAGTGGTTACCGGAGATCTTACCATGCCTCTGGCCTGTTGAGCCGGCGAATTCAAGCAGAACGAAGCAGGCCAGCTCCATCTTGAAAGCGGGAATCTTGCCTGGACGGCAGGCCCATGGGGCCGTCGTCTTCAAGGAGGTGCTTCCCGTAGTGAGAAGGAGCGCCTGTAGGGCGTTAGGAGGAGGGGGTTTGGGACGGGAGGGTGTATTGCTGCAGCGTTGCTGCATCCTGCAATCGCTCTGGTCTTCCTCCTCCCCTCTCCTCCCCCCTCGCTCCTGACAGGGGGCTCACAATCCTAAATTCTTTGGGCGGGCCCGTCCCGAAGTCTTCGGCTGAGAGGGCCGATCCTACTGCGCTGCCAGTGTAGTAGGCTAGCACTTATATGGCTCGTTCCTTTCCTCCATCCCCCTTCGCCAGCCCTTTCCCTCTTTTCGTCCTCCCTCCCTCCTCTCTCTTCCTCCTCCTCGCTGCTCCTTCCTCTCTCCCCCTTCTCCTTCAGCGCCTCTCTTCCCTTCTTCCTCTCTTCTTCCTCCCTCCTCCTCCTCCTCCTCCTCCTCCCTCCTCCTCCTCCTCCTCCTCCTCCTCCTCCTCCTCCTCCTCCTCCTCCTCCTCCTCCTCCTCCAGTCCTTCCCCTCTTCCACCGCTTCTAGTTCCCCTCCTCCCTTCCAGGCCAGCACGCTGCTGTCCCTTGCCCGTGCCGCCCGCGAGCTGCTCTTGGCGCCCGGCCGCCTCCTGGTCCTCTCCGCTCTGGCAGCGGCGCGGCTGGCGCGCCTCGCAGTGCTGCTCCCAGCGCGGTGCGTCTTGCTCGCCGCGAGGGGCATCGCCTCCGTGGTGGGCCTCGCGGCGCCACGGGGGAGAAGCAGCCTTGTCGAGGTTCGAGGCCTCGGGGCGTCCTGGGGCTTCCCTTGGGCCTTCTGGGGGGCGCTCGCCACGGTTCGATTCCCTTCGAAGTTCTGGCCAAAGCGCACCGCAGGATGGGCCGCGGGGCTGACTCTCCAGGGTCGGCATGGGGCCCACCCCTCCGAAGCCAGGCCCTCTTGCGTCGTGCACGCATTGCGACCGAAGGTCTTTGGCCATTTCCAGCACTTGGGGGACTCCCTGCCGGGGCCCCAGGGCCGTCGGCAAGCGGCTCGGCATGAGAAGCCAGCCCCTGGAAGGGTGCCGAGAGGTCCGGGGGTTCACGCCGCGAAGCAATCGGGACGTCGGGGGTCCCTGGGAGCGGCGCACTCCGAGCCGAGCCCTGACTCCACCGCCCACGTGTGCGGGCGGGGGCTGAAAGATCGCAATCTCCGAGCCCCATGGGCGTCCCATGATTCCCAAGGATGTGGGCCCGTGGGGCTGTCTAAGCCCAGAGATCTGGCGGCTCGAAGAAAAACGAGGCGGCCGGCTTTCCGTCGTTTTGGCCCTCTGGAGACTGGCTTCTGGCCCGAGGACTGTTAAAAAAACGGCTCGGAGACTGGAAAAGCTGGCCCTGGGGACAGGGGCCTAGAGGTCCAGGGGCCCATGTCTCCCAAGAAGCGCACCGCCCGATCTCTGGGAACCATTTGTGTCGAGACGGCATCCCACCTCCTGAACTTGCGTCAGCTCGGTCGGACATAGGTCCCCTTCTTCAACAGCGGCCCCTGGGTCTCTCCTGGAGCGCGTTCCGACCAGGATTCCGAGGCGGATACAGAGATGGCGACGAGGGTCCCCCTTCAGAAGGCGACACATCAGGCAAACAACATTGAATCCTCTTTCTCCTCTCCCTCTTCCAGTTTTTGTGCAATGACTTTTTGTTGTTGTTATGGGGCCTCAGGAGGCCTCTGGGAGCCTCTCGAAACCTTTGGGACTCGCGTCAGCCTAGTCGGACAAGGATGATCCAGGCTGCGCAAATGGGGCCACAAAAGATTGTGTCGGAGGATCGCGCCGCATCGCCGATGCATCTGCGATGCTGCGAGATTCGGAGCCAGATTGTTTCTACCCCGACATCACCAATGTATTGCCAATGCACCGGCGAGACGGTGCCTGGACCGCATTTGCTCTGGCCCCATTTGGAATGCCTACAACCCCTTCTTTCCGAGAGTACGAGGCAGCGGAGCTATAGATGTTTCTGGCGGGAAAAGTGATGCCAGCTGCCATTTTTGAAGCCAGGTGGCGCCAGGCCTAACCTGTCCAGTTGGAGCCAGAGGCATGTATTTCTTCAGGAGGCCCTTGGCAGAATGAAGAGCGGGATTGCGATGATGATGATGACGATGATGATGATGGTGCTGATGATGATGATGATGATGATGATGATGATGATTATACTGATGCTGATGATGCAGATGATGATGATGATGATGGTGATGATGATGATGATGATGATGACGACGACGATGGTGATGGTGATGGTGATAGTGATGATATGATGATGCTGATGATGATGACGACGGTGTTGATGATGATGCTGATGAGCTGATGATGATGCTGACGCTGATAATGACGACGATGCTGCTGCTGATGATGAGGCTGATGCTTATGATGATGATGCTGATGATGATGATGATGCTTCTGGTGCTGCTGCTGATGATCATGATGACGATGATGATGCTGAGGATGATGATGCTGATGAGGATGCTGACGGTGATGATGATGATGATGATGATGATCTTGATGGTAATGATGCTGCTGCTGATGATGCTGATGATTCCGCTGATGGTGACAACGATGATGACGATGATGGTGACGATGATGATGATGATGATGATGATGATGATGATGATGATGATGATGATGATGATGATAATGATGCTGATGATGATGAGGAGGAGGAAGATTGTGATGATGAGGATGATGGTGGTGATGGTGATGATGCTGCTGCTGACGATGATGGTGATGATGATGCTGATGATGCTGATGATGGTGATGGTGATGGTGATGATGATGATGACGATGCTGCTGCTGCTGATGATGCTGATGATGACGATTCTGCTGCTGATGATGATTATGGTGATGATGATGAAGCCGATAATTATGATGATAACGATGCTGATGACGATGCTGATGAGGATGAGGATGATGAGGATGATGACGATGATCATGATGTTGATTATGATGAGGTGATGATGAAGAAGCAGCAGAGGATGATGATTTCGACGACGGTGCTGGTGCTGTTGATGATGGTGATTAGGATGCTGGTGATGACGATGACGATGGTACTTGTGATGATGGTGGTGATGATGTTGCTGGTGATGATGATGATGATGATGATGATGATGTTAATGACGCTGTTGACGATGATTCTGACGATTACGATGATGATTCCGGTGATGACGATGATGATGATGATGATGATGATGATGATGATGATGATGATGACGATGACGATGATGCTGACGGTGATGATGATGATGATGATGATGATGATGATGATGATGATGATGATGATGATGACAATGAGGATGTTGATGATGATGGTGGTGGTGGTGATGAGGATGATATGATGATGATGAGGATGATTGCCATGATGATTATGATGACGATGATGATGATGGTGATGGTTATGCTGATGAGGATGCTGATTCTGCTGCTGCTGCTGCTGATGATGATGATGATGATGGTGGTGGTGGTGGTGGTGTTGGTGATTGTGATGGTGATGGTGGTGACGATGCTGATGGTAAATATGGATAGGACCATGCCCATGATCGTGATGACAGTCGGAGGATGAGGAGGAGGGAAATGAGGAGGTCCACCCACCAGTCTGCTCTCCCTCTCCCCCTGGTCCTCCTCTCCGCCTCTCCTCCTCTCACCCTTCTCTCCTCCTCCTTTCCCTTCCCTTCTCCCTCCTCCCCCCCTCTCCCCCTTCTCGCTCTTCCTCCTCCTCCTCCTCCTTCTCCTCCTCCTTGTCATTCTCGTTGCCCTCCTCTCGGAGAGCTTGGCGAAGGGTAGGCTTGACCGCTGTTTGATGTTTGACGCGCGACCCCTTCTGCCAGTGTGGCCTCTTCCTCCTCTTCCTCCTCCTCCTCCTCCTCCTCCTCTTCCTTCTGCTCGTGCTCCTGCTCCTGCTGCTGCTGCTGCTGCTGCTGCTGCTGCTGCTCCTCCTCCTCCTCCTCCTCCTCCTCCTCCTCCTCCTCCTCCTCCTCCTCCCCCTCCCCCTCCAAACTTGGTCACCAGAGCTCCACTCTGTAGCGATCTCTTCACCAGGTTTCGTGGCGGACCTAGAGGCAGGGGACTAGGCCCCCCTCTCCTCCATAGCTTTCGCCAAAAGGCATCTGAAACGTCCCCAGGCATCCAGCGCTTCGATTTGTTTGATGCGTGGGCCCCTGGACCCCTCTATGCGGGGGAACGATAGGGGGGGAACGGCTCGGGGGGGAGCTCTGAGTTGGAAACGGCGATACATCGCCGAATGATTGACGATAACCCCTCCAATTGTGAAATCGCACGTTCCTGGGCAGGGTGGTCCATCGCGCCCTTGTCTGCGATGAATGGGCGATAGGGGGTCGAGGCATTCCCACCAGAGCCTCTCCCCCTTGATCGTTGTCCCTGACTCGACCCGTTCCGCTGGGCCTGTTCTTCATCCCGAGCCGTTTTTTCGACGGCCTAGGGGCCCAGAGCCAGCCTCCAGAGGCCAACAGCAAGACCGGCAGACTGGCCACCTCGACTTTTCCCGAGGCGCCAGATGTCATGGGCCAGATCCTCCTCCTTGTCCTCCACCCCCTTTGGGCGAGTGGCTCCTCGCCGGAGGGGCCTCTGGTGCGCGGCTCTCGCGGCGCGCAGAGGGCCGATCTCCGAGCTCGCAGGCCGCTGCCGTCGCCCCGCGCGCAGCGATGTCGGCAGGCCGCGCGCCAGAGGCCGCGCGTGCCCGGGGGTTCCCCCCCCCCGTGCGTGCGGGCGATCCCTGCCAGGCTGGCTCGCTGGCGTCGCTGGCGCCCGCTGCCCGCGAGCTGGGGCTCGCCAGCTGCCTGGGCTACTCGGGGCGAGCGCTGCTGGTGGCGGCCCTGGCGACAGGCCCCCGCGATCCCGGCGGCGAGGGCGACGACGACGGCTGCGGTGAGACGATGCCGACGAGGCGGAGGAGGACGACGAAACAACGACGAGGACGACGAGGACGACCACGACGACCTGGCGCTCCGCGCAAGCCCCATCCGATGATTCCACAGGAGGCGCGCATTAGTAGGCTGGCTCTTGAAGATAAAGTGTGCCGTGGTCTCCGGATCCCCATCAGTTTTCTCACTTGTTTTATGTGCGTCTGCGCTCCGTTGGCCCTCGGCAGATCCATGCGTCCTCTAGGATCTCCTCTCGCACGCACTCGGGCTGTATGATGCTGCCTCCCTCCTCCTCCTGCTCCTGCTCCTGCTCCTGCTCCTGCTCCTCCTCCTGCTCCTCCTCCTCCCTCCCACCCACCGTGCCATCAATTTGTCCTTCTGCCTCCTGCCTTCGCCATCTTCTGTCATTTCTCGTGTCTCCTGCACGTGTTCCGCCAGCCAGCGTGACAGTGCGTGCATTCCGTATCAAGGCAGCCTTTATCTGAAGGGCTTCATGCTCTGTTGCTGCCCCCCCTCGAACGGTCAGCGCTTTTGGAAAGTCGCGACCGGTCAGAGTTGAGCGCTTCACGCGGTGTCAGGCACCAACGCCCGCGTCATCGCGAAGTGTGCCCGCAACACGCTGCAGGCTTTACCCCACCACTAGCCGCAGGCTCCCGACCAAAATCCACTCAAAATCTGTCCCTGGTCCCCTCTCAGGGTCCACCCTGGACAGTTCCTCCCCCCAGGATACATCTTTGGACGGCCTCAGGGCCCGAAGCGGGCCCCAAGAGGCCGAAAAATGCGACCAGCTGTTTTTCGAGCCTAGATTCTCCCCCTGTCCTCCTCCTGCAGCCCCGTCCCCTGCCCGCAGCTCCTGTGCCCAATCTGGCAGGTGCGACGGGCAGCGTCCCCGCGGCGCTGTTGCTGCTCGTTGGGGCGGCGCTGACGGCTGTCCTGGCGCCGCGGGCGAAGGCGGCGGCAGCCAGCTCGGGAGGGGTCGGCGTGGCTGTCGGGGCTGTCGAGGCTCGAGGTCTTCGGGTGTCTGGCCTCCGGGAGGCTCGTCGCCACGGCTGGATCTCTTCCGAAGTTCTGGCCAGTTCGGATCCCAGGAGAGGTCTGGGCCTCGACCTTCGCGCGCCATGCGTTTCTTCATCGCGCTTGCGCTTTGTCTCGTTTCAGGCTCTCTGGGGCGCCTGTGCAGCAGGTCCTGAGGTCTCTCGCTGTCCTCGGGCTCTCGAGGCCCTTCGCAGCAGAGACGGCCCATATGAAGGCAGAGGTGAGGAAGAGACCGCACAGACACTACGAAGAGACAGCAGAAGCAGTCTGACGATATTCGGGGCCCTGGAGCAAGAATCATGCCTGCTCCAGCGCATGCACAGCTGGAGCCAGGACCTGGTGCTCCCTATGCGATGCCGCCCACTTCTGCGCCTGCGGGGAGGCATGCTGAGCCTCGCCAAGCCAAATCGTCAGAATATCAGCACGCACTTGGAGCTGCGCTGTCACCTCTACCGCGTGCTTGAGCCACGTAGCACCTGGGACCAACTGGGAACCAGCACTGCGGGCGCGACCGGATTACAGTGCGAGCAGAATTGGTCGGGAATGGAGGCGAGAAAGAGTCAGCAGAGACGCGGGGCTCTAGACTTAAGTCGGGCCTGTCCCTCTACAGGAGGAACACTAAAAGATAGTCAAACAATAAAATGGGGACGATTGTTTGAATTTTGTTTTGCCATTTTTGGGGTTATTTTTTGACTATTTTTTAGTTTGTCGTCCAAAATCCCGACTTAACTCTAGACTTGTGTGCCAAAAGAGCAAGTCGCCTGCGCGCGTCGCGGCGTGCGCTGAGGCGGAGGTGTTTCGATATCAGGAGCCGCACCAGGACAGTCGAAAAAAGGCTCAGGATGAGAAGCTGACCCTGGTGAAAGTCCTGGGGTCCAGGACCCGCTTCCCTCGGGCCCGTGCTCTTGATGGCCACACGTTGTGGGCCTACTTGTTATTGCAACCACTTCAGACTGGGGATGATTGGCCTGCGGCAGCGCATTGCTGGGAGTGGCGAGAGCCCAGCACAGCAAAGAGTTACCATACGTCAGTCATCCCTGGTCTGCAGTGGCCGTCGTGAAAGATATGCCCACCAACCCGTCGTCGCTCGGACGGCGTCGGCTGTGCGCTTGCACTCATCTTGGCCAGGCCCATCCTGGGCCCAGCATCGGTGTGTGCGACTTCGGCATTCTCCTACCGGTGTCCAGGCCGCTCAAATGGGGTCGAAATAGATGGGGTCGGTGGATCGCGCCGCATCGTCGATGCATCGGCGATGCGTCGCGATCCTCCGACCCCATCTGCTCGGACCTTATTCGGTCCTCCCCTCGTCTGGAGCCCTGGGGGGACCCCGCTGCCCAGGTGCCCGCCTTCGGCCGCTGCTGCGGCAGGCGCGCGCCATGGGCGCCCTGGCCTCAAGGTGCGCACGCCGTCGCCTCCGCCGCGGTCGCCGCGTCGCCGCGGTCGCCGCGCTGCCGTCGCCGCGCCGCCGCCGCCGCCGCCGCCGCCGCCGCCGCCGCCGCCGCCGCCGCCGCCGCCGCCGCCGCCGCCGCCGCCGCCGCCGCCGCCGCCGCCGCCGCCGCCGCCGCCGCCGCCGCCGCCGCCGTCGTCGTCGTCGTCGTCGTCGTCGTCGTCGTCGTCGTCGTCGTCGTCGTCGTCGTCGTCGTCGTCGTCGTCGTCGTCGTCGTCGTCGTCGTCGTCGTCGTCGTCGTCGTCGTCGTCGTCGTCGTCGTCATCGCGGTCATCGTCGTCGTCGTCGTCGTCGTCGTGGTAGTCGTCGTCATCGTCGTCGTCGTGGTCGTCGTCGTCGTGGTCGTCGTGGTCGTCGTCGTCGTCGTCGTCGTCGTCGTCGTCGTCGTCGTCATCGTCATCGTCGTCGTCGTCGTGGTCGTGGTCGTCGTCGTCGTGGTCGTCGTCGTCGTGGTTGTCGTGGTCGTCGTCGTCGTCCGTCGTCGCCCTCGAAGTAGTCGTCGCCTTCGTTGTTCGTCTTACGTCGTCCGTTAGTGGGTGAGGAGAAGAAGGAGAGGCTGGGAGGGGAGCTGGAGGGATGGATGGGATAAGGGAGTGAGTAGGAGGGGCAGGAAGGAAGAGATATATGAGACGGGAGGATGCAGAGGAAGTGGGAGGAGGAGGGGTAGAGGAACAGGAGGAGTTGGAGGGGGTGGGGGAGGAAGGACGGATGATGAGAAGTAAGAGGAGGGATACCTCTTCGTATTCTCAAGGGGCTGTGTGCCACCAAACCAGAAACTGGCGAAAACTCAACCACGTGTGGCGGCGGAGGATTGAGAGGAGGAGGAGGAGGACGAGGAGGAGGAGGACGACGAGGGGGAGGAGGAGGAGGAAGAGGAGGAGGAGGAGGCGGATGAGGAGGAGGAGGAGGAGGAGGAGGAGGAGGAGGAGGAGGAGGAGGAGGAGGAGGAGGAGGAGGACGAGAGTCCACCCAGACTGCGTCAACGAGGCTGCTATACAACTTGCCGTCCCAAGTCTCCTCGTAAGTCCAACAAGCCATTCCTTGCAACTACGGGGATCGTTTCATTGAAAGACGAGCGCCACATAAGCTTGCCATTAATGCGAGATCACCACTTTGGAACGGAGCTGCTCCCTATGTCCCTTGCTAGAATCAGTGCGACTATAGAGTACGAACCATTGTGAAGTGGGAGCGCAGTGCTCAAACATATCCGCTCTCCACAGGTGCAGCCGCTGCACATGTTGAAGCTTCGGACACGCACTGAAAAAAGGGTTACCAATACCGCGCCCCGTGTTGGACAGCATTCCTCAATTATACGTGCAACCGTTGAGCAGTTTTCGAATGTGAGAAGGTATCGCCGCCCATCCGTATAGCCGCCAGGATCGCAAAACACGATCGTGCACCATTTTCAGGGTGATAATGAATTATCTTTCCCTTCCGCCCGTGGCCGTTGTGGCTCATAAGCTGGGCGGGAGGGTGTACGCACCTACTCACGTTTTAGCCTGAGTACGGAGATACATTTGCATATCCTATCTTATCTTGTGCTTGCATCAAGTACTGGTGGGAGGGATATTGTAATCTGTATTTGCACTGGTAGCCTGGAGCTGGATCAGTTCTACGGTTGCGAGATTCATGCTGTGAGTGGCCGTGCAGATGGATGCTGGCGCTCAAGACGCTCGTAGCACTTTCTTCAGCGATCAACACGTTGAACATCATCACCTGCAGCCTGGCCGAGAATCGGTGCCATGACCCGGGCAACAGCAGGGACAACTACTACGAGCTGGACGGATACGCCATCTTCAGAGACGGCGACGCCATTTTCAGAGACGGCGACAGTATCATCAGAGACGGCAACATCATCACTACAGGCAAGATAGCGGCCAGGTAACAGCAGCCCAACGACGGACCCCTCTTCGTGGACCAAGAGGGCGTCGTACACTACAACGGCGACCCAGCCTACGGCGATGAGTTCGAGGAGCGCGCGATCCTCGGCTACTGTGCGAGCGAAGAGAAGCTGCATAAACTCTACGCGATCAAGCTCAAGAATTCTTTACATGGGCGAGCGTGGAACCTCACGTGGAAAAGGGCCGAAGTTGCGACGCAAGCAGTGTTGGACAAAGCAGGTGAAGACCCACTTGCTGCAGTAAAGCTGGTGGTGGCAACATTGCGACAAGCGTGCGAGCGGATCGCGCCACTACAGAAGCAGCAAACTTTCGAGGAGCATTTCTTCAAAGGTTTTCGCAACAGGTCGGAATCTGTGCATGACTACATCTCGAGACGGGAGACGGAGTACGAGCGGCTCAAGTCTCTATCAGCAAACGCGGCAGTCAGCGAAGATTGGCCGAAGTTTTCTCTATTAAAGTTGGCCAGTGTCAGCCTGGCCGAGCACAGGGCTATTCTCGGGCAGTGCAACAACGAGTACATATGGGATGATGTGACGGCGGCGATGCTCATCCAGCTGGACACGACGTGCAGAGACGAACGTGGTCGCGGACGTTATGGGGCATGCCCGGCGGACTACGACGATGGCGAGGAGGACGCCTTATTCGGATGCGAGCGTGGCGTGTGCGACGAGGATGGGCTTCTGAGCGATGAAGATTACGACGCGCTGGCAGCCGACATCGACGAGTTCGAGGGGGTGGTTGACGACGTCGACCCCGAGGAGATCAGCCAGGAGGAGTGCGGCGCTCTAGCGGCTGAGGCACAGCGTCTCGGGTGCAAGGCTGGACGGAAAGGTCGCGAGCCCACTTGCAAGCAAGCATGGGAGAGGCTTGCGCAGATCATGTCCAATCGAGGCTGGAAGGCCAACATCAACGATCAAGCATCCATCAAGATGGACGGCAAGGAAGCCGAAGAGAGAAGTTAAATGAGATAAAGGTGCGCGCGGAGCGCAATGCGCGCCGCGAGAAGGGTCGTTGGAAAGGCGACCCGGAGCGCGAGAAGACCAGGCCATCAGGTGGCGGATCATCGAGCAGCCTACAGCGTGGAGGACGAGGTGGTGGCCGAGGTTTTCGCGGGCGACCTGGAGGTTGTCTACGACGTGCTGGGTTTGCGATGGCAGCGGCGGTGAAGCTGCTGGTGGCGGACAGCTCAATGGGCATGACTGCCGTCCAGATCGTGAATGATCAGCTGGCGAATATGGAAACCACGATGGAGGAGATCGCGAGTCTGACGAAGGTGAGGATCGACGCCGACGAGCAGATCGTGAACACCTGGACGGTGCCAGCGCTTGGAGACGACCAAGGCACACGAGAACCCGAGGATAGTGATGACCAAGCGCCAGGATCTGGATCAGGACAGATATGGCCGAGCAGATCGAGCGCCGGATGCCGTGAAGAAGATAACGCAGCGGCGTGCCCGCAGAAGATTAAATATCGAGCAGCACAGATCGCAGCTTTATGAGTCAGCTGTGAGAACATGGGAGCAGCCTACAGGGATTACGTGGATTGGTGCGTGGACTGGGCACTGCGCCGGATCCACCAGCTCATGCGCATCGCGATGGAGATGGCACCACAGGGGCCCAGGAACCTGGCGTACGACCTGTGCCAAGCATCTTAGGGCAGTGCCTCGGAACTACGAGACATCGCATGGGGCGCCTGCGAGCGCCTACCTCATGGAGTGCGACCGACATGGTTGTGGACGGAACGCAGAACGGGCACAGACTACAGGCTCGCAGGATCGTGCACCATCATCTGGCTTGCAGGTGGACTGCGAGGAGCTGGGGGGGACCGAGGCCAGCGCGATAACGAAAGGAAGTATTCCAGATGAACATGCGCTACTGGGCGCGGCGTGCCCACGTGGATGTGGGGGCTCGCTAGCGTTGGGCGGCTACGCTGAGGACAGTGGGGTCACTGCGAGGATGAAGGGCCCATCCATGCGCTTCCGAGGCGTGAGTGATAGCGCCCCAGTGATGGCAGAAGGCGAGCAGGAGGTGGCAGCTGGACTTGCAGGAGCCAGCGTGAATCTACGGTTCCAGAGGATGCCGAAATCGAAGACGCCGATGCTGATCAGCATCCACCAGCTGGAGGAGCTCGACGCAGCGCTAAGGGGCGGAAGGCGGACTTCAAGGCGATCAACAAGCACGGGGTGCCGCTCAACGAGACCGAGAAGGGGCGCCTGACGATCTCGCTCGAGGACTGGCCGGAGAAAGAAACGACCAAAACAGTGCCACCAGTTGCGACGGATGAGATCGACATTTGGACCGCGGAGGTGCAAGAGATAGACGAAGGCACGCTGCGACGAAAGCAGATGAAACATATCGAGACGTGGGAGAAGGAGTTGAAAGAGTTGCGGGGGGGGCTGGACCAGTGCCAGCAGGTCGTGGAGGCGGTAAAGGCGGACCCAGAGGAGAAGCGGCCTATCATATGTGAGCTTTATGCTGGTGGCATGGCGGCAGCGTCGGAAGCTCAGCAGCGGCGACGCCCTACTGCGAGACCAAGGGGCATCCTGATATGGGGGCGAGGACAGCAAGTCACAGCAGAAAGTGCTGAAGCAGCTGGGCGAGGACGAACCGCGCATGACTATCGTCGGTTTCCTATGCGACCCGCTCGCGAACATATCGCGCATGTTTCCGCGGAAGACGAGGGTGATGAAGCTAGCAGCTGGTTTGAAGCGCCTGCGGTTTGTCCAGCAGATCTGGCTCAACTGCAAGCGTCGAGGAGCACGCGTGCTTCTGGAGAACCCGCTGACGCCCAAGGCGTGGAAGCTCCTGCCGTGGCTAGGCTCAGAGTTTGTGGCCGCGATGACGCACCAGTGCGCCGAAGGCAGCAACCTGTTGGACTTGTTGGGCGACTCCGTCAAGAAGCTGGCGCGGTTCTTGGCTGCGGCCATCATGCTGGGCGCCAAGCTGAACAGCATCAGGCGCGACAACACGCACAAACACACGCGCGTGATAAACGGGCCGAAGGAAGCAGCATCAAGTCTTGGCAACTGGACGCCCAAACTGGCTAAGA